TGATCACTAAACCATCCGATTCTGTGACCATAATGTTGTTGCCTCTGAAGTCGACGTGAGTGAACATCACCGGAGAGTCAATGTCTTTGATTGTCTTCTGAAGCCACTCTAACTCTCCCTTCAAGTCATATGTCATCAATGATTGACAATTGCATTCCTCATACAATGTTTGCAAATCATATGAATTGTTTGCCTCCTTATAAAAGCTGCCGAATGTGTCTAAAAGAGAGATGCACTTCTTCTTGATGGGCACATCCATGGCGTGTATCTGTGCTAACCTTTTGCCCAATTCGTCGACCAGTTTGGCGTCATTTTGTTCGTCAGATCTAAAGGGCTTATGCTTTGAATAATAATGAAATTTGAAAATCAGTTACAATAAGTTACAAAATAATGCAATTATACAGTACTTTATAATATTTCAAAATCTGTCCGCTTTCGAAGAGTCCGTATATTTTTGGCCCCAAATTATATTCAGAGACTAAAACTGAAATTATGGTATCACTAAGTCTCTCATTGCCCTCATTATCCATATTATTGAAATGTTTTGCTTCATATAATCGGAGGACAACTTCTTGTGGTTCAGTCGTATCACTATTCCTCAGGTCTTCATTGAGAGCACAATAGTATAACTGATTCGTGAGACCACCGCTCAATCGTTTCACTTGGATGTCATCGATGGACACTTGAGGCCAAACGCCTCCCAAATAATCGGAACATAATTGTAAACATATGTCCTTAATGTCTGAGGGAGTCCTACCCCTCTGCCACTCGACTTTCATGAAATCAACTATTGGTTCCTCTATGTTGTTGTCCATCACGAGTCACACTAAACATACAATGAGATTCATTTTGTATTGAATGCCCTTTTTATATAAATGTATTTAAATCGTGATGTCAAATGTAATCCCTTTTAAACATTTCAACAGAATTTGGGTACAAATTTAATTCATAGTTTGCTTTCGATTATTGATATAAATGATAAAATACCGGTTTTCCTCCACTCCTCATATGTAGAAACACGTCATTAGAGTTTTGTTTAGGAAAGTCTCTAAATTTGGCTCATTTTTGTAGTTATTTAGTTTTTATATTTTAATAATTAAACTTTAATTATTAAAGTAATAAATATATTCAATATCTTTCTAAATATTTATTATTATTTTATTAATTGGTGAAACTTTTATTAATAATTTTAATGATAAAATATTAAAATTAAACATATTGTGAATTTTCTAAACTCCAAGGCACTCGAGTCTCGACTTGATGTACTACTTCATGATAAACTTAATGTACATTTTAAGATACAGATTCAAAGTGCATAAAGTTTAAATAAAAATCCATTAATAATAGACAATTATAGTAGTAATAATAATTACGGAGCGCATTTATATGAATACAAATGTCCCGTACAATGCAATCATTATTTTATGAGTATAATTTAGTTCTCCTAATTTTTTCATAGTTTTAAAGAATTTAATATCGTTATTATAATCAATTAAATTAATGATTCTGTTCAAACAAAAATTAATAATAATTTATTTGTAAATTTACAAAATTATATTAAATCATTGCAAGCAAACATTGGCGCGAGATTTTTAATTTTTTATATTATTAAAAATGTAAAACAAAAATCTTTAATTCTCTTATAAAAACTGAACAGTTTTCAAGAACTTTATTACAATACTATTTATACAATATTATCTAAATGACATTTTCTATAATTATCTCATTTTTAAGTTGCTGATACTTTTTATAAAAACTTTCGCATGGTACCTATTAATAAAGCAATAAAATAAATGATTGTTGTTAGTCCTAAAATACTGTAAGATATTTAATATACAAACCATTTGCT